GAATCAATTTAATAGATGCATGCAAGGCGGTTGCAAAAAGGAAAATGTGAAAAAGTGACATTTTATTAACTTTCTATGAAAAAGTAGCATTTTGTCACTTTTCTCTAAAAAAAAGTCATAGTATCTCATTTGAGCAATTAACTAGATGCATAATTGTAGATTTTCTAAAATTTAATATACGTTTATACATATGAAAATTAACTTTGAATCAATTTAATATATGCATTCAAGGTGTTGCGAAAATAAGAGTGTGAAGAAGTGGTATACTGTCACTTTTCTACGAAAAAAATCACATTATCACATTGAAGTATTTTGACAAATATATACATGTGTTTTTGAAAATTAAAATATACGAATTCAAACATTGTTTTAATTTTGCATTCTATTCATATTTTTTTGAATTAATTAAATTGATACATCCAAGATATTTGTGAAAATGAAAATGTAAAAAAGTGAGATTATTTGAAAAAATCGCGACGTCTTAATGGAGCAATTAACTAGATGCATAAGTGCATTTTTGAAAATTTAAATATATGAATTCAAACCATATTTTAGTCATACATTCAATTTTTATTTGTTTGAACTAATTCAATTGATGCATCCAAGACTTTTGCGAAAATGTGAAAGTAAAAAAGACACAGAATTATATATTTTTTCTTTCAATTACTATTTTGACTTTACTAGTTTTGGCCTATTTACGGGCGATTTTATTCACTCGTCGAGTGAGGTTTTCGTTATCGTTTCAAAGTATTCACGCCAAACTTTGAAATACATCTTTCGAATTTAAAAATCAATAAATTATGAGTTTATAGTAAGAAGTCAAAAATGCAGCAAGAAATGAAGTTAATAATTCCGATTTATTTTGAGTTCAATAATTTATGCAAAATATTTTCCGACATTTAAACTTCGTCTATAATATATTTATTATGGCCACATTGCAATCTTTCTAACGGATTTTAAATCACTCAAAAAGGATAATCGTAACAGAAAATACTCTATCAAACGAAAACTTTTTAATAATAAAAAAATTAAAAAGTGAAAAATATGGTACGGCCGTTTCCCTTTGGAATGATTTTGCTGACTTTTAAGTGTGTTATATTTTTAGTGGATGTAATTAATACTGTTATTAAAATCTTAACTTTGTTTTAAGTGTATTAATCAATTTCTTCATCTTTTTAGAGTATTATGTCTAATTTTCTCTAAAAGAATTATTCTACACGTATATAATTCATTGTACATAATATATTCGAAGTGGGTCCCCTTTCATGTGAGGGTGTGGATACCATTACGTATAATGTATTATGTACGTGTATCATAATCCTAGGTAAAATTATTGTAAAGCGACAACTGGTGAAGTGGCGCTTGAATTTCTTTCATTATTAGTTAATTACAATATAATAGGTGTAGTTAATTAATTAATTATTATTTATTACTATTATTAAAATGAACGAATTTTTGTCCATCCTTAGTTTGAATCTCTATCAAGTAAAAAAAAAAATACAAAAAATAGTCAAATGTATCGTAATCTCTTTTATTTTTTTCGTACTTGAATAATTGTTAAATATATGTTTTGAGAGTCTTAGTTAAGTAGAGTATTCAATATATTTGTAATTATTCTAAAAATAATCAATTATAAAATGATAAATTTAATAAACGTTAATATTACATAAGCACAACCAAATAAAAAAATAATAATGAAAAATTAATTAGGCATTAAGGTATATACTTTAGTTTCTTGCACATTTTGGACGTGTTCGGTAGAGATTAAAATCGAATTAAAATTGAAAAATTAGACGTTATTGTTGATTTTTATTAGACAAGTGAGATTCAATAACGACTATATTTTTAATTTTAATTCAATTTTGAAATATTCCAAACAAGCTCATTGCTTGATGTAAGGGGAAGAAGGAAGTCAAGAGATTAATATTAATAATATTAAATTGAATAATAATCGCGGGCAGTTCAAGAAACAGCGTCAGCAATTCCTCTGACAATCATAGAATTTCACAAAAATCTCTTGCTAACGTGTCTTCTCAAGATTCTTCCATAACTAGATGCATAATTGTAGATTTTTTGAAATTTAATATATGTTTATACATATGAAAATTAACTTTGAATCAATTTAATAGATGCATTCAAGGTGTTGCGAAAATAAGAGTGTGAAGAAGTGGTATCCTGTCACTTTTCTACGAGAAAAATCACATTATCACATAGAAGTATTTCGCCAAATATATACATGTGTTTTTGAAAAGTAAAATATACGAATTCAAACATTGTTTTAATTTTGCATTCTATTCATATTTTTTTGAATCAATTCAATTGATGCATCCAAGATATTTGTGAAAATAAAAATGTAAAAAAGTGAAATTATTTGAAAAAATCGCGGTGTCTTAATGGAGCAATTAACTAGATGCATAAGTGCATTTTTGAAAATTTAAATATACGAATTCAAACCATATTTTAGTCATACATTCAATTTTTATTTGTTTGAACTAATTCAATTGATGCATCCAAGGCTTTTGCGAAAATGTAAAAGTGAAAAAGACACATAATTATATTTTTTTTCTTTTAATTACTGTTTTGACTTTGCTAGTTTTGGCTTATTTACGGGTGATTTTATTCACTCGTCGAGTGAGGTTTTCGTTATCGTTTCAAAGTATTCACGCCAAACTTTGAAATACATCTTTCGAATTTAAAAATCGATAAATTATGAGTTTATAATAACAAGTCAAAAATGCAGCAAGAAATGAAGTTAATAATTCCGATTTATTTTGAGTTCACTAATTTATGCAAAATATTTTCCGGTATTTAAACTTCATCTATAACATATTTATTATGGCCACATTGGAATCTTTCTAACGGATTTTAAATCACTCAAAAAGGATAATTATAGCAGAAAATACTCTATCAAACGAAAACTTTTTAATAATAAAAAATTTTAAAAAGTGAAAAATATGGTACGGCCGTTTCCCTTTGGAATGATTTTGCTGACTTTTAAGTGTGTTATATTTTTAGTGGATGTAATTAATACGGTTATTAAAATCTTAACTTTGTTTAAGTGTATTAATCAATTTCTTCATCTTTTTAGAGTATTATGTCTGATTTCCTCTAAAAGAATTATGCTTCACGTACATAATTCATTGTACATAATATATTTGAAGTGGGTCCCTTTCCATGTGAGGGTGTGGATACCATTATATATAATGTATTATGTACGTGTATCATAATCGTGGGTAAAATTATCGCAGAGCGACAGCTGGCGAAGTGGCGCGTGAATTTCTTTCATTATTAGTTAATTACAATATAATAGGTGTAGTTAATTAATTAATTATTATTTATTACTATTATTAAAATGAACGAATTTTTGTCCATCCTTAGTTTGAATCTCTATCAAGTAAAAAAAAAAAATACAAAAAATAGTCAAATGTATCGTAATCTCGTTTATTTTTTTCTTACTTGAATAATTGTTAAATATATGTTTTGAGAGTCTTAGTTAAGTAGAGTATTCAGGCCTTGTTCGGGAGGGATTAAAATCCAATTAAAATCGAAAATATGGTCGTTATTGGGTCCCACTCGTCTAATAAAAGTCAACAATAATGGTTATATTTTCAATTTTAATCCGATTTTAATCCCTCCCATACAAGGCCTCAATATATTTGTAATTATTCTAAAAATAATCAATTATAAAATGATAAATTTAATAAACGTTAATATTACATAAGCACAACCAAATAAAATAATAATAATGAAAAATTAATTAGGCATCCAGCACGTATTGCTTGATGTAAGGGGGAAGAAGGAAGTCAAGAGATATAAATATTAGGGAGATGCCACGTATACATAATGATATACACACGATTTTACACTCCCTCACATGGAGGGAGCCCAAACACAATAAAATATTCGTGGACCCTCTTATATGTGAGGGGATGTAAAGTCGTGTGTATATCATGAGGTGTGCACACAGCATTTTTCTTAATGATAATAATATTAAACTGAATAATAATCGCGGGCAGTTCAAGAAACAGCGTCAGCAATTCCTCTGACAATCATAGAATTTCACAAAAATCTCTTGCCTTGCACAGAAGAGTTCTAAGAAGGTCGTGGCTAAACCAGCAAACACCGACAATCCACCCGAGAACAAGAAACGAACTCAAAACCCCAAAAACTTGATTCGTTTTACTTTTTCATTTTTATTTTCCTCTATAAATTCTCCCGTCTGTATCCTAGAGAGAGAGGGAGAGGGAAACGGAAATGTTACTCTGGATTTTTCATCATTCCCTTTTCCACCTCTTTCAAATTTCCTAGTTGTAAAGTTTTGTCATTAAGCTAATTTTTCGGCTCCCTTTTTTTAATTTTTTGTAGCAAAAAAAGTGGAATTAATTGGCACCGAAATTGGCTTTTTCACTGCTCACTTTCCTCTTTTTTCTCATATATATATGCAGTGATTTCACTATTACTCGTATGATTTTCATTACCTATTTGATTGAATCACTTCCCATTTTCTGATCTTCCAAGCCCCACATTTTTCTGTTCTCTGTCCCTTTCTTCTAGAAATTAGCGTTGGATTCGGGTTACCTTCTTCAAATTTACGCAATTTCGGGTTCTATTTTTATGTTGTGAAGTTTGATTTGTGGGTTAGTGGATAATCGTTTCTTCTGTAACTTTGCCGTCTGGAAGCTTGACTTTGTTTTGTTTAGTGTCTAATTAGGTTCGATTTCTTCTTTCTGATGTTTTGTTTCAATTCAACCTACAAATTATCGTTGAAATTCTCATCGAAACCCTTGTATTTGTACTCAATTTCATCCAAGTTTTATCAATTCGATATTTTCTTCATTAATTGCCTCAATTGTTTCCGATTTCGCCTAAAAATTTGACCATTTATTGCTCAAACTCTCCTGATCAGCCTCAATTACTCCTATTTTTCTCCAAAGAGTAGCACTGTTTATTCAATTTGATTGTATATTCGGAAAATGGGGGATCGGTTTAGGTCATGTTTAATGGATGACTTGCCACTGCACTTAATACTCGAAATCCTGTCCTCTGGTCGATTGAGCGCATTGGATTTGGTGTGTTTAGAGCTGACTTCAAGGAATTTTGGGGCAAATCATGGCTTATTTCCTAAAAAGTTCCGATCTTTAGTCGATTTTGCAGCGTTTAGGCTTTGCGAGTCACACCCCATTTACTCTTCCCTGCAAATCAACCCTAAGAACGAGCTTTTTGATCGCTGTAATGGGAATTGGAAGCGTGTGTTGAGGTTCTTGCAGTCCGTGGAACAGTCGTGTGACATGGCTCAAACCTCTGCAGGCAATGTATTATTTCTTGCTTTTTTTTTTTTGGTTCTTTATTCTTTATAGAATTATTCCCCCCACTCCAGGGCCCCAGGCTGTCCTTAAATGAGAAATTTTGGGTTGAATTTAGAGAAATAAGAAGCTAAAATAGACGAAATGAACTGATATATAGTGTGCAGAAAATAAAGAAGTATTAGAGGCTGGTGAAATTGAAGGACCTATTATTTGTCTACACAAAATTTGCCTTTCATAAAGTATTCTAAACTGTAAGAAAAATTTGAACTTTGCAGTCTTCTTAGATGCTAGAAAATGCTAGCGCCATTCACTTTAATTTTCCTTCTTTCCTCAAATCTGCATTTCAAATGGAAGTAAAAGGGAACATGTTGATTAGACCTTCTCTAGAACTTTTTGCAGTATAAAGGATGAAGTTTTTGAACGTATTTCATTAATTGAAAGATATTGTCTCCAGATGCAGATTAAGAGTGGAAGATACCATACGTTGCTGATCAGCGATTCAGATGTATACTCTTGTGGTTCCAGTTTATGTGGTGTTCTAGGTCATGGTCCAGAAACAACACAATGTGTAGCATTTTCCCGGATCAACTTTCCATGTTCAACACCAGTGATCCAAGTCTCGGCCTCCCACAATCACGCTGCCTTTGTCACTCAGTCAGGAGAGGTTTGTCTTACCCTGGCGCTTCACACATTTTTGCTATTTCAATAATATGTTCATTAGTTATAACTTATAAGACCATGATCTGTTTGGCACTGGTACTAATGGATTACTTGCTACTTCTGACAATACTTCTGAACTTTTTGTTATTTCAAAAAAGAGCTGTTCTGAGGATTTGCCGTTGAAATCTCTCAATCTATCAGTATGCTAATGCAAGAACAGTAGTGAGCACATGCATGTTAGTGCATATGCTAAAATAACATGCACAATCTTGCCGGCTCATTCAGATGTTCATCCTTTTCTTTTACTGTTTGGTAGGGAGCATTCTTTTATCCAAGTCAGTATTACTGATATTGGTATACAGTTTCAAATGGCATGTTTGAAAGAATCCCTTAGTGGAATCTATTGAATTGAAAATTTAATCTTTCCATTTAACCTAGTTTGTTTGAATTGACATTTCAAGCTTAGCTCTGAATTACACGCTTTTTCTCAATGGTGAGACAAATTTGATTTATTCTGAGGATGTTAGGGTGTTGAAATTTATTGTACTGCGATTTTGTATATTTTCCCTTAAAATGTTATATACCCCCATGTAAAATTATTTTATGATTGATGCTAAATTTGGATTCTGATTGGTGATACAGGTTTTCACATGTGGGGATAATTCATCATTTTGTTGTGGTCACAGAGATACAGGCCGCCCCATATTCAGACCTAGGCTTGTTGAAGCATTGAAGGGAATTCCGTGCAAGCAGGTACCTCTCTTATTATGCTTTTCTTCCTAAGCACTCAATTTAGGTCCGAGTATCTGTTTTTTTTTTTTTTTTTTTAGGACTCTTGTCCTAAAATTAACTAAAAATAACATTGAAATATAAGATTTATATGGGAGAAGGAAATTTTCCTATGATTATTAGAAGACAAAGTTACATATGAAATTTCTTTCAGGTAGCTGCTGGACTGAGCTTTACTGTGTTCCTCACAAGACAAGGTCATGTTTACACGTGTGGGATCAATACACATGGTCAGCTTGGCCATGGCGATACCCTGGATAGACCTGAGCCCAAAAACGTAGAACGACTTGATAGTGTTGCTTCCGTAGTTCAAATTGCTGCAGGCCCGAGTTATGCCCTTTCCGTGGCTGATGATGGGACCCTCTTTTCTTTTGGGTCAGGCACCAATTTCTGCCTTGGGCATGGAGAACAGCACAACGAGCTTGTGCCTCGAGCAATTCAGTCTTTCAAGAGGAAGGGTATTCACGTGGTTCGTGTGTCAGCTGGTGATGAACATGCAGTGGCACTTGATTCCAATGGATATGTAATTTCTGTAGCTACTTGGAAAATGAAAATTTGTATCTACTGAATAATGGTATTGTTCACTCAAGTTATCCTAGTCATTTTCGTTTGTCGTCTGTTGATTGCAGGTATATACCTGGGGCAAAGGTTATTGTGGCGCATTGGGCCATGGGGATGAGATTGACAAAACAACTCCAGAACTACTTAGCAGCCTTCCGAGCTGCCTTGCTGTGCAGGTTTGCTTCTTGAACTTTGTTGCATTCTATGATGCTCGGACTCGGGTACGGATATCAGAGACGAGTACATATCTAAGTATCGAATATTTTATTTTCTAAAATGTAGAATATGGAGACATGGTTAAAAAGAGTCCAAACTTTGGACATGGGTACATGAGTATATCTTTCAAAATTCAATTTTTTTACTAATCCAATATATCATTTTGAATAAATCAAAATCAATTATTCACAAAGAAGGAAATGAGTATTGAATAAGGGGTTAAGACGAATAAAATGGAATTTTGGCGTTTTATTTTCAATTATGAGAATTACTAAATGTTATATAAAATAAAAAATGAGAAGATTGCAATTTAGAATTAGTAGAGCACTATATGAAATATCCAAACAAAACCCTAAACCACCGATACCGAGAGAGAAAAGGAAAAAAGAAAAAGAAAAAAAGGGAAAGAAAAAAGAAAGAAGAAGAAAAGGAAGGGAAAACCTAGCGCTGTCGCCGAGAGGGTCCGCCTTTCTCCACCCTCTCGGCAGCAACACTAGGTTTATAGAGACCAAGACTAGGAAAGAAGCAGAGGGAAAGAAAGAAGAAGAAAGAAAAAAAAAGTAAGAAGAAACAAACAACGAAGTGTCCAATCGAAACTTGGAGAATCGACACATATCTTATACCCATATCCATGTTGTGTCGTATTCGACACGGATACTTCGATTATTTCGAAGAGTTCGAGCATTAGAGGTTGCATTTATCTGAAGTAATATATTTATTAGACACAATATCAATCCATATCTTCTATAAGTTTTTTCCCCTTTGATTGTTTCCATATAATGGAAGAGAGCATTTTTAGCACCTCAAAGCATCTCGAAGAGAATTCTATTTTAGAGAGTTAATCCTTGAAAATAAATTCCAACGTATACTCTATTTTAACTTCTAAAACATTTGGAGAGCCAAAGCCACTCTCTATTTGTACTTTATAATGGTTGCATTTAATAAGTTGTAGATTTTGATACTCCATTTCTTGAATTATTCAAACCATCTTCAAATTTATTAGCTATTGACATCTAAAAATATATATCAATTAAGAGTGAGGGAAAAATAAATGTTTTTTGAAAAAAGTAAAATAAAGAGTTAAAAAAATAGCTTGTTGGAGTGTGTTACAAATTTTACTCTCTAAATTAAAGATGCTCTCAATTATGTACAAAATGATCTTTTAAAATAAAGACAGAGGTAGTTGGAGATACTCTCAGTTTCTTCCTAGAAACCAAACAGCACTTGACCTATTTCCTCCATGAATCTTGTAATGTGCAACATCAGTACTTGGAGCTACAAATTCTATGATGTAACCATTTGGAATGATTTTTGCTGTTACTCAACTGCCAATAAAGGGACCTGATTGAGGAATTCAACATGTCAAGTATATAGGAACTATACCTTTTTATTCTAATTTTGATATTGGTGTCTATTTTGTCTCTGGATTGTTGTTTGAGTATAACTTCTCATTTACAATTGTGGTTTTTTAATAATTATTATTGATAAGAAGTCTGTCTACTAGTTGAGGAGGCCAATAACATCCTCTGCCATTATTGGAAGATTTTACACCAAAAAAGGCCTTTTCTTTTCTTTATATTTGTTTGAAAGGTCTTTATAGGAATATGCTAGCATCTCCCTTTCTTCTTTTATTTTATTCTGTGCTGTTTCAGTTTTTGTGAAACAATGTATAAACACGATTTCTTATCCTTTTCAGGTATGTGCCAGTAAGAGGAAAACTTTTGTTTTGGTAGACGATGGATCGGTTTATGGATTTGGGTGGATGGGTTTTGGTAGCCTTGGATTTCCAGACAGGGGAGTATCTGATAAAATAGTAAAACCTCGAGTCCTTGATAGCTTGAGACCCTACCACATTTCCCAAATTAGCACAGGATTGTACCATACTGTCGTGGTAACAAACCAGGGACGAGTTTTTGGGTTCGGAGATAATGAAAGAGCA